GTTTCCATTTAATTTCATTTCCTAGTTTGCTTCAGCATTATCATCAATTGCAAACTCATTGATTCATAGCTTCATAAAACCATGTTCTTCAATGGAGACTAACAGGACAGATCTGCTTGTGGACCATCTCAAAACAGACTTTGGAATTTAAAGACAGCACATAATTCTATCATTGGGGAGACAAGCCAAGGATATATCTCTGGGGTCTCTCTGGTACTGACATTAATGTTCTGTATTAACTCGGAATTATACAGATATAGGAAAAACAGGGTAACTTATCTTTTATTTGGACATTTATTAAAGACGCTTAAAACTCCCAAAAGATAAGTGCTGTCAAAGCAGACAACTTAAATTGCGGTGGCCAGCACCATGATTAATGTTCCAAGATAAAGACAAACTTGGTTTATGCTACATGAAAGAGAATGTTGGGGGAGGTTTTTTTGCACCAGCCGAGCAACAAAATGGCAAAAGGGTGAAAAGATTTGTTGACTATTGAGGCTGTGCTGAGTCTTGAGCCTGTCAATTTCTTGTCATTGTTATGAATGGTTTTAAATTTTGTTTGAAACCCAAAGTGGTGCTGCATTTGGGATTAGTTAGGAACTAGATCAACAAGAGGAGAATCTTTTATATTTCAATCTTTGTTGTTGTAGTTGTAGTTGTTGAGAATAATTCCTTAGATTAAAGTCAATGAAATCATGCAACCCAATTAGGATGACCCAAATTTTCTTTCATTCTTATTCTACCATTCTTTTGACATCTAGAAATTCTTGTAATCATGGAGGAATTCCTACAAAGCAATGAACTTGGAACTTCTTCTGCCCTCCCCTTCATCTGAGCAAGGAGACTTGATGTATTGGAGATCATGATGGGGTTTGGTTTTCCACCACAAATTCTTTTTCCTTGACAGATTATTCCACCTATTCTTCACCAGTCTTCCAAAATTTTTCTGTTCCAGGACCACCAGATCATAATTCCTCTTGCATTTTCCTTGTGACCCTTTCTTTTCTTTTGAACAATCCATGAGAGCGTCAACACTCAATAGATAAAACCACACGAAAAGAAAACCGTTGCTTTCTGATGAAGGGAAGGTAGTATTAAATTACATTAAAACATCATTCAACAATCACCATGATTGGCCTTTTGTACCTTACTCAGATCATGTAGTAAGAAGGTCCAAGTTAAACTTTCACCTTCTTGGAAAAAAACTAAGCTGCCATTGTTTCATTTTCTTCTATATTACTTTGACTTCCATCTTTTCCCCCAACATGTAATAAGAAGATTTTTCTTTTGAATAAGTAGGGATTTTCATTGATCAAAACAGAGCATCCTCTAATTTACAAAAGAATCTGATTTGAGACAACAGTCAGTTACTAACTTGGCTTACAAAAACAGCATATGGTTTCATGAACAGTCACACTTCAATTTATAATCATCCAAAATCTTAAAGCGGATTAGAATTAGTGGAAACAGCAAAAAACTCCTATTTCAATTCCTTGCTAGCAGAAACAGGAGATTATAAGCCACACTCACAGATAGTAGGCATCATTCAAGAGAAATATAAGAAAAAATTACACCAAAAAAAAAAAAATTTCAGATCCACCTTCATCAAACAACACCACTTTGGGCACACCAACCATAGAATATGGTAATAATAAAATCACCATCATAATCATTGGGTGGTTTTTGCAGTTAAATAATTGTTTTTTCCTTTATAAAAAGAATATGAAATTTGGACTAGCTTGATATATGTTTGAAAATGGTCTTGTGCAATCTTTGGGATTAAAATTAAAAAATGGTTCAGGAATCCACCCTAGATGTTTTCTTCAATCCTATCACATCGGTTTGTTATATCTCCAGCGCTTTGCCCAAGTAGTCCATTCTCAGTAGTGGGAGTTCACCAACTCTTACAAAATGGCATCCCGCTTGACAAGATCAAACTAATTAGCCCATTTACAAATTTGTCACAACTTTATTTTACACCAACAGTTGATGTAAACTTAAGAGTTGGTCAAACACTCAGTAGTTATAATTCGTGGCTTCAGACACGCTAATCTTGACCTGCTTTTTCCTTGTCATGGAAATTTATTTCCCCTTGTAATGGAGCTTATAACAAGTTGGGTTCAATTGATTGCCAGACACCTACTTTCTACCCTAAATATCATAAAAGTAGAAATGCCAAGATATGTACGTTTTGATTTTGGTGCATACATTTTCCTGGACGGTTTTCTGGGCAAGCAAACAGGGCCCGACTCCAGTCGAAGTAGGCCCAAAACCATAGGTAGGCTGAAGATAAAAATGGGTAGATAGGCTGCCCAAGGCCAAAGCATTACGATTACCAGGCGAGGCAGGAAACGTGGTTGCGCACGTGAGTAGCAACATCGTGACTCCAACAGTACTACTACGGTCAGTACCCAAAATTCACGTGCCGCTCGTGCACGTTGCCTTGAAACCTTTAAATCTCTCTGTCTGCCCATCCTCTTTTCTCTGTCTCTTTGAATTTGCTTTAACTGAAAAAGTATCATGGAAGATTTTGATTGTACAATGTTTTGCTCTTACAGTTTGTCTATGGCTTCTTTACTTAAAGTTGTAGTACTTCTTGTTTTTGTGTAACAAAATTAACTAAGGTGGTGCAGGCCTGCAAGGGTTTAATTAAAGTCTTAGATCACACTCATATGGACTCCCTTTTAATAGAAGGAAAAAAAAAGCATACAAGGAAGTTAAACAATAGGAAGAACCAATCATGACTATCTCAGATTCTTCAATTTGTCCAATAGTCTAAAGGTTTTAAGATGAAACAGTTTGAGTTTCAGAGTTAAGAGGCTATACCTTAATGCAAAGAACAAACTTCAGGGGAAGAAGCCTCGGTTTCTGTTGTTGGCTTGGCCGGGCTTTTCATCAAAGACCACTTAAGGGTTAAGGCATGGCATTAGAGGAGGAGAATTTAGAAAAAGGAAGGGATGCCTTTCTCAGCAAAGCAAATTCAAAAGCTACTTTGAGTGTCTAAGAGGGGAGTCTTGCCCCGAGACTGAGACAATGCTTCGGTCAGTTATCATCTGAAAAGTTTCTAGTTACTACTGTTGAGGAATACTTTTGATCAGCCATCGTTCCCCTTCCTATAAATCAGAGAATACCAGAAGAATATGATCTTCTTGTTCAATCTGTTTTTTTCTTTCTTTCTTTTTGTTTGTTTATTTGTTTATTTTATTTTTAATCATTTTAAAATAAGCAACCGTTGGTGGAACGGTTCTGTTATAATGGTGTCTCTGATATACCGTTCATGAAATCATTTTTTGTTGGTGTTTGCAGGATGTTCTTTAAAATTATAATCATTCCTGCTTCTGTCACTAGCCCAGTTTTATTCCAACTTTCTTAGTTCAATTTTTTTTTTCTTCATATTGAAGAAATTTGATGCGAGTAAGCTCCTTACAGATTGAGGATATTGCTTAATAAATAGATTGAGTGACCCATGGTGTGGGAATAGTTCTCGTGGATTCTTTGCTAGTTGGAAAGTGCCTTGCATAGCCTGTAAAGATGAATTTAACAACATATATTTCATCAGATAGCATCTCAGTATTCTAACAATCGTATGAGCTTGTTTGATTTTGAATGTCTTATCAGTTACCACCTGTGGGTCGTGGAATGAAAGTGAGTTTAATAGTGTACCCTAAAGCTTTATGTAAAGGGAAATGGATGCCTCCTTCTCCACCCCATTTCTCCTGATGGCCTCATTTTCCACTCAAGGTTTGTATTCAAAGTTGCTGTGAGGCAGTTAAATATTCACCAGACACCTACAAAATGGTCACTATGTTTTCTTCTGGTTTTGTTCAATTATTTTCCCCTGTACATAATTTGATGGATCTTGATCACCTTATTATCTCAATGTAGTTGTCAGTATGCAAGCTCTGTTGATTATCTTTGTGTCGTTCTGAGAGTACAAGTTGATGCTGCTTATAGATGAAGTTGCTTTCTCTTGTTTATGGAACTCCTAGCTGCCTGTATTTACTTGTTGTCCTGCTGATACACTTTGTATCTTCATCTGATGTTCTAAATGAAGTTTTAGCGATTGATCATGGGATATATGAATTAGTCCAAGCTGAATAGATGAAAGCTAAAACACTTCAGTTATGGTGTCATAAAAGTTGTGTGCTTAGCATAAAATGGTTTCTCTAGTTTTTGTTTTCCTCTTGCCATGTATGCTGATCAGAGCTTTGATATTTAGGTGAGCTATTTGCCAGATTATTCTTCTGCATCCAGATGTCAAATGCATATTGACATGTCAGAAGGTAATTTTCTGGTCTAAGCTATAGTTGATTGCTAAAAGACTCTTAATATGTTATAAATATCATGTAGAAACGATAACTGAAATACACTGTAAATAAATATATAATAGTAGTAACTATTTCTGGATAAGCTAGCATTTAATTGTTTTAATCAACTTAAACCATAACACGGGGCTGTGACAAACTCAGTTTGAAGTAGATTCAGGATGGATAGAGGACATTTACTTCCCTGCTAAGAAGCAATGTCTAGCTGGCATTTAGCCATAAGGAAACAGATAGTGGTCTGTGTAAACTGTGCCGTTTCGATTTTGTTGATAATCATATTTTGTATAGAAGAAGATGTCCTCTGTTGATAACTTTGTATGAAAGCTATTCAAGTCAACCGAGTATATCAATAATGGATGGTTTCTACATGATTAACATAGTCTTCATCGTTTTATTTATTTTTTGAGTGTAGAGGTCTAAACAATGGATGAAAAACGTTGTCCTGCATATTAGCTGCATAAATAATGTTATTTATATCACTAACTAGAGATCATACGCTTATTGATTTTGGAAAATTGGTGATCATGTGTTTCTCACTATATCAACCATGTGATGATAGAGAGATAAGGCATGGTTTCATCATTAACCATTTCATGATTGGTGCTTTCATAAATAGAAGGCTCAAACTAGGTGCATTTCCTCTGTGTGTGTGTGTGTGTAACTGTGGATAAATGATAAAGAACATAAAGAGCAATCCAGTTGAAAACTAAATGGAGATATAAATTTACATCCATGAGGAAGAAAAGCGAAAAAAATACAGTGTTTGTTCTCTCTATTTGACGTTTCAAAATTTCTCATATTATCCCGAAATTCATCAGAACAATGATAGAAAACAAGGGAAATAGGAAGCTAATACCAGTGCTCAGTGATCTGGCTGCTGAAATGACCTTATCTTCTGCAAAAGTACCATTAAAGTAATCAAACGTCATAAGATCGGAAAAATGCATTATAGATCAAATACAAAATGAAGAGATCAAGCAATAAAGGTACTTACTGCACTCTTTTGCATGGCAGATGCACTTCAACCCAACACCACAATTGCCATTAGGCTTTTTACATTCATTACAGATATCTGGTACATGGTCAGGAATGTCGAAAGAAATCCTTGTCCCCAGCTCAACTCCTTCATAGTCTTCCTCACTTAAAGACCTTCTATATACCCTCCTGTAATCTGAGCAACTCAAATCATTTGGATGAAAGTTAGTGTCAAGCTTTTCAATATCTTGGACAAGTAGACATGAATAGGGCACTTTAATTTCTGGTTCCTGGACTTCAAAAGCAGCTCCACATATGTGTAAGCGAGTGCAGTTGTGGATCAATGATGATTTGGGATGCCTTTTGCTTGAGCAGTTGAAGAGAAGAAGTGAGTTGGGGAGAGGAGGAGAAGGGAAACCAGCAGAGAGGAGTGCTGGGGATACATACTGCTGTGAAGAAGAACAAGAGGGGTGAGAGATTGTTAGTGTTTTGCTAGTGTAATCAATAGAAGAGATAGGAAAAAGACCAATAGAAGTTCTAAAATATAGCTTCTGAGATTTGCATTTGATCATACGGGTTAAGAGGGATGAGATGGAGGAATTTTGACTTAGGAAAGGTGTTTGAAGCTTAATGTTCCCACAATGGTTTGGGCGAGTGTGTTGGGCTGTGGAGGTGGTAAAGAAGAGCATGAGGGAAAGGAGAAAATGTAGAAAGTTGAGTTTCTTGGATGTTTGCATTCTCTCCCCTTTTTCCTGTTGCTTATTTGGCCCTTCAGATGATATGAACAAAATTGCAGAGAGGGTTTCTTTGATGATGGGGGGGAGGTTAGAAAGTGTAAAACAAAGAATCTACTTTAGATCTGCTAAGGGAATGTTACTTTCTCCCTAGTCTTTTTGGTTATTGGTGGCATCTTTGGAATAATATTGGAAGAAATGGCCTTATCTTTCATCTGTTATTTTATTTACGTTTGAAATTTAGCATCCTCACATGGACTTATTATCTTTTCCAGTGGAACATTTGCTTTCCTCTGAACATCCTTTATAAGATTCTGCCTGTTTCACCCTTTACTAATACTCACAATTCTGAGTACTTTCTGATATTATGCTGGTGGGTCGGTCTTTAGCCCACATGCTTGGTCACTTTCTTCAGGTTCATGGCCTTTAGTGCGAAGTGCATGCATTTCTTCATAATTAATTTACTCATTTTTGCATCTAAATTATGACAATCAGAAGTTGCTATCCTGATGAAAATTGTCTAAGACTTATTTTGATACTCTTGGTGCCACTGTAGAATTATAATGGCAGACAGGGTTGTTAAGATGGGGCCATCATGATTAAGGCTAATTAACCTATTTGCAGTTCATCGAGGACATTAGATTAGCAGAAACAGCAAAGTCAAAAAAGTAGTTTTATCCTCTTTCAGGATTATTGGGCGCATAAAGATTAGCAGTAACGCTCCAAAAGAGTGCGGTGAAAAGGATTTTGTGATTCCTCAGTTCAGCAACCAGCTACCTGTCCATTCATCAGCAAGCTAAATGTCTGTGATGCATATTAATAATACAAATTGAGATTGTTTGGAAATTGACAGAAATGGCAAGCCATAACACAAAAGCAGATAAATGCAGACGCATACATACAAGAGAGATAAGCATACAAATAGTCAAAATACTAATTTCCTGGGTAGCTTTTTATTGCTGAAAGATTTTCGGGATCATGCTGGAGCCTTGGCAAGGACAGATGGAAAATCAAGCAGAACAATCTTCTCGATGGCTGTTGAAAATGTAGCAGAGAATTCAACGTGGCTGGGATGGCTGACAAATGCAGTGTAGTCTTCTTTCTTGTCGAATGTCATCACGAAGGCATGGGTAAAGCCTTGTCTAAGCATCTCTTGACCCTCGATGTCTTGACCCCTGTTAGAACAGATTCAGTGGATCATGAAAATAAGTGCTTCTAGACATGTCTATTGATGTTGCCCAATAGAATGGTTCAGTTTTTGCTTAAATGCTATAAACGTCCTAACCAAATTCTAATGGAGAAAAACACTTTCAAAGACAAAAAGTAAGTGAACCCTTCCTGTGTTGGGGCACCATGAACATGCAGGCTAACCAATTGTCAAACCTAGGAAGTAAGAACATATGAGCTTCCGTTTAGGAGCCATAAAGTCCAAGTTTCTAGCTGTTTCCCACTTTCTTTAGCCTCTTGCTTTTGTTCATAAGATGTGCAATTTTTCCATAAAAAAGAACAATGTTTATACTATTCACATGAAGAGCTAATGTGATGATTTCACTTAAACCAAGTAATTTGCAAATACAATCAACATAACAATGATTTATTTACTTCATTTTCTTCTTTCTTTAAAGACTTTCTTCCCACCAAGTGAGTGAAAGGGCATAAAGAACATGCAGCTGATCTTAATGACCATAACCAAAAGTTTTTAAAGAAGGAAAAGACTGTGAAGACCAAAAGCTCACCATTCAAAGGACTTGACAGCATCGACCTCTGAAACCAGCTTTTCCATTCCTTTCAAAATCTCCTCCACTGCCGCACCTTCCCTAAATTTGACAACCACAAGATGCTTGAACCCTGCCATTGATTCTCCACTCTGAACACACACTTGTGAAGTTGAGGTTTCAACCTCACACAGAAACCTCAAACAAATTTATACACGCAACAAAATTATTAGTGTCAACTCCCACAGTCCCATCTGTCCACTGTGGCAAACGCACCACGACCCCAATTCACCGTTGGTAGTACCAACCATGACCCAAGGGGGCAAAGTCTTCAGTCTCTCCTTTGTTGGACAGTATCAGCATCTCAATATATGGAAAGGTACAGAATTGCATGGGGGGTGAGACCCACCAGTCAGCCATTTCTTTGCTCCACCGCACAGTAAGATTGTCCTCAGCCATTGTCGTATGCCTTTGCTTTTGCACATGAAATGGGGTCATGTAGTTCCATTTTTCTTGATATTTGAGATCTTGTGCCACCTGATTTTCCCAGGCATTATTATCACATGACACCAACCTCTTTTCTCTTTTAATTTTTACCAAGAATTATTAGATTGAGTGGTTAATTTTTGGGTCATATCACCGCCAGATAGATCAGTGATGCTCCTTCTTTTATTGACAACAGATTTACTTAGGGGACAACAAACATATTCTTGGACTATATCATATAATTTAAACATATTGTCTAAGTGATGTTCCAATAACCCTTCTTTTTTCATATGGGGACTTGGGGAGTGCTATTGATGGAGCTCTTTTGTTTCCTTTTTTTATCTCTGAATTCTAGAACACAATGTTTACTGCTGGACTTTTCTCCTTGTCTTTCCCATGTGCTTCCAAGGTTCAAATTATTTAGACCTTAGTACAAGGATGACATTTCACCACACTTATCTTTAAGGAATCTTTAATATGGGACTTTTTCTCAAAGAGTATGAAGCACCATGGAAGAAAAGTTGGGTCATATCTGCTATCAAATAGATTTATGATTAAGGATACCTTTTTCCTCATTGAGATATATGCATGGTTATCATTTGGCCAACTTGCACTAGGGGTTACATATACTTTTACATAACGTTTTCTCAAATAGCTTTTTGCAAATATTTAATTAATTAGTCAATACAAAAAGATTTGTTTAGATTTCTGTTAAAGCAATACAAGAAATTAAATGACAAATTTTGTCCCAAATTGTCAAAGCTTTAGTATTTTTTGAACATTATAATTGGTCATGATATAATTTTCATGATTATATTCTAAAACCCACTGTGCTTGATAAGAAAAATGTGGGTCGGCTTTCTACTAATTATTGGTGGTAAATACATTTCCAGGTGATTTGATCCTTAGTCGACACTAGTTACCCAAGTTGGAACTTGGAATGCAATTGTTAGAAAGGGAACACGGTCTATGTACTTCTTTGGCCCAGTCAAAATATTGATGACATAATATTGCACAAAAGACCTTATGATTCCCAGGTCTTAAGATCAAATCCTTAGAGTATGTGAGGATTAATTTCTTCAATTTTATACTAATTTCTTGTTATAGGATCAAAATATTATTAATGATGTAATATTTTGAACTTCTAAAATTGATTTTTCTTTTTTTAAAAAAAAAATGAGTAAAATCAAAAGGGAAGTATATGGCAATTGATTAGTCCTATGGACCCAACAATTATCTTTCTCAATCATTGATGCCTGAATACCAAGTCAAAAATCCCATGATCAACAACGTTACACATTGATCATCTACTATGGCATAATCGATTAATCATCAAGAAAGGCTTAATTTGCATTTGATTGCAACACTTTTCATGGTAAGAACAAGCTTTATCATCACCAATTAATGACCTAGGCAACAATAATAAATTGAGAACTTGGTTGATGGTGTATCCTTTAAGTCTAATAGGAGAGAAGCTCTCCTCTTCAATTTTTAACTTACGAAATCTTATGAAATTAGCAAGATTCAATCTTATAACTACTGCTAATTTTTAGTAGAATTATAAAAATTTTACTGCACCTTTGGTATATATTTGTACCTATGTGTATTTTACCCCCTCCCCTCATGCCTCACCGACATAAGGGGCACCCTGCCCTCGTGCAAGGAATAACAATTTTAGTGCATGTCTTATCTAGCAGTGTGCCCCTCAAAACCATAATTACAAAAAGCCTGGTACAGTCAAATTCAAAGGGCTCCATCACCCCCATTCTGCAACTTTTTGCTGCACCCATCTGAGGTTTGAAAGGGATAGTAGGCTAGCGACAAAGGGTGAAGACAATGGGTGAACCAGGCCAGTCCTGTAAACTACCATGCCCACGTTTTGATGAGTGTATCTTTCTTCAACTTTCAGGAACAATTTACTTACTCCAATGATTTACCTGAGGCAAGTCCAGATTTGGTTTCCCCATGGTAAGATAATAGCGCCATTCACACATCTTACAGTAGTAATACATTGTTTTTTTTAAGAGGTTTTGGAGAGATTTAGAGAGTAATCAGCTGGAAGTTAATCAAATTTGTTTGTTGGTTTCTTATTTGAGAAAGAAGTAATAATAAACGCCATTAAGGGAATTACACACCGTATCTAAAGTTTAGTTGCTTATTTCTATCACAGTAGAAGAAGAAAATGGAAACACCAGCAATATATAGGTATATTCAACATTGATTAACAAATTTTTTTTAAAAAAAGCAGTAATGTTATTTTCGATATCACTACTTGGTACTTACAAATAACATGGGTGTACTAAATTAATCACTAAATTTACGAAAAATTATTTCCTGTGAATAATCAGACAACCAGATTGTTGGGGGACTTTGGCATTTTCTAAAGTAGTAGTGAAATCAAGGAGGTTTTACCATTAACCTTTTTAATTGGTTACGATCACCTTTGTTGATCACTAGAACCTTGTCCACCTTGTGGCCTTCCACTTGTTATGTCCAGTGTTTTAATCTTGAATAGCTCAGGTTTGAGTGAAGAGTCCTCATCTAATGTTGAAGCTTGCTTCTGCAGACCAGGCAATCCTTGTCTTGAATCTATTGATTTTGCTTGAAGAAATGCTCTTCATGTTCATCTAATGGGAGGAGTTGGTGGCTCTTTTTGTACAAATTGGGAGAACGATGATGAACTCTGAGATATGCCTTGAGAATTTTGGACCCAACACTTCTCTTGGAATTGGAAGAAAGTTTCTTCAAGAGTTCTTGGAAATGCCTTGATTTGAAATCTTCTTCCCCTTCACTTGGGAGTTTCTCCATCGAAATGCCTTGCACTTTAGTCGACAGTTCTCTAATAAGCTCTTCCTTGTCATCAACATTGAGTTTCTTGAACCACCCCAGAAGGAGGTCTTGCCTGTTTTCCATCACTGGATGGCCTGAATTTGGAGAAGATTTCCCATCATTACACCAAGGATTTGACATAATATGTATAAACTTTATTACTTCAGCTGTGAAGTCAAGAATTATCTGCTCAAGAGGCCGGCGTGACTTGAACTACAACCGCTAGTGCTATATAGCTTACCAGCTACTTAACAAAATCATGCTAACCAGGGCAACATTCTTAATTTTAGAACTACTTGAAGTTGTTTAATCAAGGCTCCATTTTTTTTATATAGTCTTCCTCAGATGAGATTAGGATTTGATGTTTATCCTCAGAAATTTCTTGGAAATCATTCAGACAGCTCATGAACAAATCGAGTCTGACAGATATTAATTAATCACCTATTTCATGGTCATCAGTCCAAGTGGTTAACTTAAGTTTCCCACCTAAACCATGGTCGAAGCAAGCCATATATATTAGCTTCAAAGCAACTTTATAATCTTTTTTGAATATTCATTCCCATTTGACTTTTCAAATGAAGTGTTAATGAATCTATTGATTCTTATCAAATGTACTCTTTACAAGAACGTTAATATGATGTAAGTATATTTTTCTAATATTACATTTAAAATTAATTATTGATGAAGCAGCACCAAGGATTAAGTTTAATGACCGATGCATTTCCTTGCTCAAAACTCGAATTCCCTTTGCCAAAATAAAATAAAATTAAAATAATCGATGGCTAGAGCTCGTTACTTTGATTTGGAGGGCTCTTCTCCATCTTGTGATTCTCCTCCTCCTAAGTCAAAAGATTTTACTTTGAATAAGTCATTCTTTAAAGTGATTACTCCTTGTCTTCTCCACTTCCGAACGATTGTCATTTTTCTTTGCAGGAATTTGGCTTCGCCTCGTTCTTGTTGACTGAAATGCTTGCTGACTTTGTGCTTTAGACGACCAATGACGTGTGACTACTTACCTGTTTAACATGCAGATGCTATATCTTCTACGTGCTACTTTGCATGAGAGACTCTCAATCTGATATCACACTTGTTTAGATAGTTTTAACAAGTGTAATCTCTTGTTTATGCTCTTAATGACTCATTGTATATATTGAATTAATTGGAATGAAAAGTGTTGATGTGAGTTTAGCCTAAATGGAACCTCTCTGTTAGTCCCTGTTTCATTGTACCAAAACGGAGCCCGGTTTCTTTGTTTTCTTTCTTTCTTTTGTTTCACAACAATTCTGAGGAGCATCTTTGGACCTTGGTTACGGAGCCTGGTGGCTTGAAAACAATACTTAGGCGAAAACAGGCCAACAGGTGAAGTGGCAGGGCAATGTAGTGGCGACTACTTCTCTCCTTTTCTTAACCCATAAATCCAGCGGACAAATTATGTGCACGTTGGAACTTAAGACCTTTTACACTAGCTATCAAGCCAAAGACTAGGTTCCAAGCTTTGTTATGTTGTTGGTAGAGAATTTCTTTGATATCATTATTACAACGAGAAAATGTTCTACTGATACAATGCCATTTTACAATGTAATAGAACTTCAATTATGAAATTTACAATTTGCTACAAATTTCTCTAACAACTTGTACATGAATTTCTTTATTTTGGGTTGTTTAGAGGACGGATATATGCATAGATAGCAAAGAAGGCCTGAATCATGGTGAATATTAGGAGTATGAGGGCAGCTAACGCTGACATGAATGACCACGGGGTGTCAAAATAAGTGTGCTTGAATCCTGCCCATCGTACGTGCCAATCGTTCCTGTAATACTCATTCACATCCTCAAAAAGCTTCGATAGATAGCTCTTCTCTATATCAAACGCCACGTCTTTGCCTACATTGTTAAAGAAACGAGAAATTTCCTCGTCCGTTCCGAAGTAGTTTTCGATTATTTTGTGATCACAGAGAAATCCTGCATCGCTGGGTGTGTTGATTAAGCATCCCATGAAGGTCGCATACGTTGTTATGTGGTTTGAGCGGTGGTTGTAACATTGCTCAAATGCAACACAATTGAGGAAGGCCGAGCTTGTAAAATCATCTATTGTCAAAAGTGGGATTTGAAGCACCCCATTGCTGAATCTAACGTCCAAGAAGCTGTCACCTTTCCCTAGCTTGAATTGAATTCCTGCTAGATGTAGCTTTCTGGCAGACGGGATCAATTGAAGGAATGTTGACGTTTCTTCAGTCGAGCTACTCTTTCTTGATGTTTCTTCAATGGAAGTACTATTTCTTGATGCTTCTTCAGAGGAAGGTGGGAGAAAACTCATGCGAAACAGATCAAGTAAATGTCGTCCGGTAAGATAGTTATGCTTCTCCAGGACTTCGATAGGTCTTTGTACCATGTAATTGAAAAATCCTAGGGTAAGCCGAGCTAAGGAGGGAATGTGTTCTTGGCCCGAACCCAATACTGTTAGTTCAAACAAAGTTCGGAGTACAAAGAAAGGGATTTGGTTTTCTAGCCTAAGAAGATCGCGCATAAGGAAACTCAAAATCCATTGCATATTGAAGATGGGGTCATCAAGATTAGTCTCTGCTAACCTGCCAACTATGCAAAACAGCTCGATAATGAAACATCCATCAAGCACCATCATCTCAATCAGACCATGGCTGTCCATTCCAATTGTCTCAGAGTAGCACTCCCTTATACTGTCCTCCATTTGTTTTATGGCTTGGAAGAGGTTAAAGAGTCCAATGTTGTGTTGCCGTATTCGATGAAGGAGGGAACCAAGAAATCTCCATTTGTGCTCTTGCATCATCTTGAGTTGTTCTTTTCCATGGTGGTAAGGACCAATGGAAATGATATGGGGTTGGTAGGCCTTTTCATTGATTTGGACGAGGCTTTCAGGGACTCTGAAGATGCAGCAAGACTTGTTACCAGCATATTTATTCAACAACTTCGGTGGTTGATTGATTTTTGCTTCCATGGTTCTGATAACTTGATGAGAGGTTTCATCCATGTCTGCAGCCTCCATGACCCTGACAACTTGATGAGAGTTTTCTCCATTTACTTGGTTACTACAGCAGGGGCCAACCATTTCCACGCCCATATGATTTTTGAGTGGTGAATGGGGCAGCTTACAACTTATGTCTCTAATCAGCACTTGGCTGCAGGAAGTCACCGGAAAGAACTATGGAACTCTTAACTTGGAAAGAAATGCTGCATTTTTACAAGTTGTTCTTATTCACGACAAATCATTACAGAGTCAACTAGGGAGGAGCTCCTTCATAGTTCGTAGGTAACTACTCGACATTTTCCCTTCGTTTCTCCTGTCATTAAGCTATTGACATTTTCTTACTCTTTTCTTTCTTGGTGCAAAAGATTCTCCTTGAGGATTCCGGAGAGAAAATTTGTCATTTGCTTTCTGACCTACTAAGTAATCTAATAGGAAGCTATCAAGAAAATGTTCTATACTCGACATTGCAAGTTATTTTTGGTAAAACAGAACTAAAAGACCTTGTTGACTAAGAGATTAGGCAATGTAATCCCCATCGAGCTGCGGCATCTCTACCCTATTCTAATTAAATACACCTTTTCTCTCTGGCTCGGTGGGAGCATCTGATAATACACTGGTGTCCAAAATTATTACTAGGATATATATGTTGAAAACAGAAGGCTGACTTTGGGCCAATTGGCCCTAATTGGGTAAAACTTGCACATGGCTTCTACTTCCCTTCGGCTAGAGTTATTTCCATTTTTAGTATGAACTTCCTTTCTTGTTACAATGCTAATGTTTTCTTTAATGTTCAGGGAGCTCATTTCATGTGACAGGACAAATGGAAAATGGGCTTGTACATGTCAAAGTGGGAGAAATTTTTTAAATACGATGGAAAACAATGTAAAAACCAAGGGTATTAGGTACAATGGTAAGTAACTAGAGAATGAAGTGAAGGGTTAATAGAACTAATAAGATATATACTGCATTTTAAACAGAAATATCAGAGGAGGAGACTGAGCTAATGAGGGGCTGAAATCCTTGAATGTACAAAGTGAGCAAGTGTTTTGATGTTAATCGATAATGATAACCTCTTAGAATTTGAGTTCAAGAGTTTTAATTATATTTTTATCTAATGTAAAATGAGTATCACAATCTCTTTATTGAAATTTTTAATGTGGAAAGTTACACCAACACAAGCTAATTGCATATTGAATTAACACATGTTTTGATGTCCATTGTAACATTTTGGGATCAAATAAAACTAATCCATCAACTTTTGAGATATAAAAATGATCAACACCTTAACTATTTCAATTCAAATTAAATTACTATCAATGAGAATTTTTGAGTTCTTATAGAAGTTTCCATTATCTCATTGTCAATAGCATTAGTGACTTAGCAAATATATATAAACCATGCAATATATATATATATATATATATGTTTAAATCCAAATTGTTAGTAACGATTAACGTGTAAGTAAAAACTTTTTATTAATTATATGATTGTTATTATTGATCCCATTTTCATTATTATATGAAAATTTATGAATTCGAAATGGATTAAAAATTTTGAATATATTTAGTGTTATGTATTTACCTTTGAAAGAAATTTGATTCAAATGTGTCTTCTTTTAAAAAAAAAGGGAAAAGAGTAAAAAAAAGGCAGGAGGCCGACGAAAAAGACAAAATGAGGGTTGTTTGCTGGTTATGCTCTATATGAGATCACGCGGGCATTTTTGCATAGTAATATTAATTAAAGTATCAGTAATCTTAGTCACATGTGTAAAACAATAAACTAAGCAAAAGGATAAGTAACTAATTAAACCTCAAGCATTTGAGCCAATCTTTTCTACAGGTGAAACATGTTAAGGGTGAACTTACTATAAAATTTACCAAAGTAAATGTAATAAGATTTACCTGGAAAAACCTATTCCACTCACTTTTTTTCCCTCTTCCTTTTTAGTTCCAATATGTGTACAATTTAAGATGCACGTCAAGTCTTTTCAGAATTTTGTGTGGGAATCTATCTCCCATCTCATACAGTCCAAAATCAAAAGAATGACCTACATATCGCCTTCTTCTTCGATTAGGCCATTGGTTCTTCCTCTCTTCCCTAGTGATCACTTCACTTGTAATTTGATTGTATACTTTACGATATTTTAACATCTATGGTTGTTGAGGATATATAGCTCCCTTCCATGTGTTGGACTTTTGAGATATCGTTCGTGAGTGTCATCTTATGTGGATAAGATTATCTAGAATATAATACTTTTACTTTCTTGTCTTCGTATATTGGAATTATCAAGATTATTAGATATCAAAAATGTTTTTAGAATTATGTTGATGAGAGTTATTACCCGATGATAAGGTTTACAAATAAGTTTAAGTTTATGCCTTCCATCAAATGATTCACACCAACAATTTATATTAAAAAGCGAATGGGACCTATTTATTGTATTAGCACTCAAATTTCTCGTATAGCTTCTTCATCTTTTTTGACTGATATTTTAACTCTGTGAAAAGTCAATAATGAACGACATGCACATCACAGAGGGACTGCAAGGATAAATTGAAAGCTGGAATGGTATTAGGTAATGTAAAGGAAGAAACTCGTGTACTTGAGCAAGCTGGATGATGACAACAAAGGTTGTTGCAATGGTGACAAATTAAATGGCAAATCAAAATTAAAGAAAACAAATAGCTTAAGCAATTATATATAATCCCTACAAGGAAATGATTGATTTTGATAATTAATGTCGACAAAAGAAAAAAAAAGTACATTCTAATTACTATATACGAGAAAAAGTATACACGTTTCTCACACTAAATATGAATTTTGTGATATATAAAATTAGTGGCAGATACATTAACATAGTTATACTTTTCTTTGAAGACCACGTGGCTTTTTTTGGTACATAGGCCAAGTAATTTACAAGTCTTAAAGTTGGATTGCACACGTAGGTAGATAGTTTCAACTTTCAACTCCAAGAAATGGATACACTTTTCATGCTGGAGCAGCAAGGAAGTTCCACATACCTTGGAAATTAGGTTTCATTTTGTGTTCTCTAGCTAGCTTTAGCCACCACTTTATACATACATACATACATACATACATACATACATATATATATATATATATATATATGAGATGAAGATCATTGATGAATTGTTGACTAAGTGTAACTATCAAGAATGGAAAGATCTAATATTAAAGGAAAAATCTTCTACAAACTCTTCTTCAACAGTACCATTTTCAAACTTCCCATGGGTTGGACTTCTTATGGGTTGGGTTATAATAACCCAAGTCCAACCACTTTTGAGTTTAAACTACGTGGTCCTCAAAAGCTTAAGCTCAAGTTGTTAGTAGTAGTAGACTTATATTGTTATATAAGTCTTAACAATCACATTCACAAAACCAAGATCTCACCAGAGCAATGTGAAAACTTACACCGGACTGACGCAGACTCTGATACCATTTGTAATGGCCCAAGTCCAATCACCGACTCAGCAACTCTTTGAGCTTAAACTACGTGACCCTCAAAAGCTTAAGCTCAAATTGCTAGTAGTAGTAGACTTGAATTGTTATAGAAATCTTAAGAATCACATTCACATCAAATATGAGATGTTAGATATCACATGAGTCGAGCTCCTCCATCCTCCGTCAAGCTAGCTCTATATATAGCTAGGTTGACCTCATGCATGTTTAATCTTAGGAGCCAACACACTTGATATTTGTTCTTGATCTACAAACAGTTAATGGATGATCAATATACATCCCCTTGGCAGGTTATATATTTACTTTATAATTACATAAAAATTGCCTAGCCATTATTAGCATGACATGGCCTTTATATTAAGGTCAATATATAGAATTAAAATTTCTTTGATTGCACCTTAATTATAAGGAATGCTAATTAAAGGGTAAGTTGGTTTTAATTTTTTAATGCTTAAATTTGGCTATTAACGTTTTATTTCATGAGGTTTTGATATCAACCCTAAGCAAATAGAATGTAATTAATTTATAGAGTATAGTAAAAATTGAACAATTAAATGGATAAAATGAAAATCAATCCAGATTCCAAACATATCCATCACATATGATAGTAAGAGCATTTCTTTTCATGCATGTGCCAAGAAAAGGTACCATTAGATTTTCTTGTCCCATGTTTAACTTTTTCAAAAGTTTTTAATTATTATTCAAAAATACTTATTGAAGAGAGATATAAGTTAGATATTAAAAGTATATATGTATACACTTTTCTTATCCCATTTCTCTTCTATTTAATGCGGACGAGATATTGCACTCTCATTGAATCTCGTAAGAACACTTCTTCTTTTTTCACTTCTAAATTAAAAAAATAAAATAAAGATGCCAACAAAACAGTAGCTTCTTCCAAAAAAAGAAAAAAAAAACAAAACAGTAGGTGAGAAATCGTACATCACATTGAAAATAACCTTATTCAAGTCTGGTTTGGAGTGTACAGCTGTATGTACTGCAAACATCATACCTCTAGGAATCTCTAGATCATATGAATTCACCTACAACTATTGGATTGGAAATGAAGCAGGATGAGCTGAAAGAAATTTACAATTGTCATTGGCTTAGAGATGCAATTGGTGCAGTTACTAGCCGGTGTTAGAATGTACACTAATAGACCCTCTTGTTAATCTGGCCAATAACTTAATGAAAAAGAAAAATGAGAAATAGCAGACTAATGCAACCTAAAACTGATAACTATATGATTCCTGTCAATCCCATAAATCAATGTTCATGGTAAAAGCTGTATCGTCATCCCAGTCAACTTGTCTTTGCATTGCTGGTGGAGTGAGAAGCATACCCTCTGCCATACTATCCAGTAACCCTGGCAAGTTGAACAGTGCCTCCTCATCGATGAACAATGGATTAGACTGATTAGGCTTGGTCTCCAATGTCTCACTTGATGGCATATGATCCATTAAAGAATGATCTAAAACTTTCTTTTCTTCATTCTGATCAATAGGTTTTATTTCTACTAAACGAGGTTCCAAAACCTTGTCTTGGTTCGTCGCATTGGAAATTAGGCTTGACGAGCATTCTGGTTCAATTTTTCTTGAACTTGTTGCACGTGAAGAGAGGTGAAGTGACAAAGAAAGAGAAGATGCTGAAGAAGGACAATGGGCTGCTGGTCTAAAAGCCTCAGCTGCTGTAAGAGCAGCCCTCTGTATATCCTTAGCTGAAGAAGACTTGGCTCGAGGTAGAACCGAAGCTGAGTCAGGAAAATTGAGAGCAGCAGACTTGCCCCTAAGCGCTAGGGCAGCAACATCATAAGCCCTAGCTGCCATTTCAGGACTTGGGAAAGTCCCCAACCAAATCCTTGATTTCTTGTAAGGCTCACGCACTTCACACACCCATTTATTCCCTTTTCTCTGCCTGACACCTCTAAACACCGGGTGACGCGTCTCCTTAAACTTCTTCCTACCAGCTTTTCGCTTATGCGAAACAGGCAATGCCTCAGCCGATGAGGATTCTGAATCAGGGCTGCATGACTTGCAAGATGAAGATGAAGAAGAAGGTGAAGAAGAATCAAGCTCTAAGTGCTCCATGTAGCTATAGTCAAAAAAGAGAATTAATTCCCCAAAAAAGATAATTCTTTCAAGTTATGAGTTAATTAGTAGAAGAAAACACCGAAGGAAAGAGTAGTGAAGCAAGCAGGAGTGAAGTGAAGAGGCTGATGCATATATATATATATATATATATATATATATATATATATAATATAGGACCGACTAGTTAGACGGGGTCAGAACGGAGGGGGGTGGGGGACTGGAAAGAATCAAAGCCGCGAATCGGACACGGGGCGGCATAGCTTATTTGTAACACGTGAAAAAGAAAAAAGCAGGAATTCGATGAAATTCATGAGGAAATGTGAAATGCGAGCCGGATTACCATTTATTATAGCGACATTTGAACGGGTTCAAACATAGAACAGTGAAAAGCGAATAAGTATATAGCAAAGGTCTTTAACCATGTGGGGTCGTTCCCCTTTCAGTTCTTGTCCTTACTTTTACATTACACAGCCTCTTTCAGGGCCAAATAATTAAATATCAGTGTGCATGTTCATTCATAATCCTTATCCATCCTGCGAATTCAAGTAAATTGACTTCCCCAAATTCCTGAATTGGAATAATAAGTTTATCCGTACTGGAAACTTTTTGACCTTAAAAATTGTTGACCACCCAACTTCATAATAATACTTTTCAATAAGTCCGATGTATTTGGACTTTGTTTTATGAGATATTTAGGTATTGTTCGATTAGATACAAAATTGCAATGCTGAAGAGCAAGTGTTGAAAGTTTCAAGTAGTTAGTAAAAAGCCAACTTTAAAATAAAAAGAATAAATAGAAAAAAATAAGCTTTCTTTACTCGTTGTGTAACTCCCTGTACAAACTTAAAATTCTCATTTTGTCACGTACCAGCTGAGCAAGTGGCCACGTTTTGAAGCTGTGAGTCATAGTTAAAAAAAAATAAAAAGTCTTAAAGAAACAGGTTTTTAAATCTCAAGCGCCGTTTCCAACAGAAAACCCAAATTGTCAAGGTCTGTGGGTAAAGCTCAAGAGTCAAATTAGAATGCTGAAGGCGAAAGTTAAAAATAAGAATCCTAAATTGTCCATTTTTGCCACGTGTAAGTGAGTTTTAAAGCTCCAGCAGGTTGGCTTCAAGAGAGAGGGTTTTAAAGCACTAACAGGTTTCGAATAAAGATCTCAAATTGCCCACCCGTCTATGTAAAATTAAAAAATAAAAAATACTTTAAAACAATTCTACCAGAGCATAATAGTATAAATAGAGAGAGAAAAAAAGGAAGATGAATTTACAACAAATACCACAAAAGAGTCAAACTTTGTTCTTTCTTTGAACTCTTTTATAACACAAAAAAAAAAAAAATAGAGCAAAAACAAATAATTTTTCTCTTTTTTTGCTAAACGAAGGGTAAAATTTTTATTAAACACAACAACAACTACAAAAGCTTAATCTCGAAGAAAGATTGAAGTACAGAGATATCCACAACTTCTTTGTTAATTTTACTTCTTCTATTTTAGACTAAAAAGAAAAAAACAAAAACTATTGAAGCAAAGTGAGAGAAAGAAGCCCGTGTGTAATGCACGGATCATATTTCAATAATTAATAAAAACCAAAGGTTGATTAAGCAATTACTAAATCTAACATTAAGTATATAACACGCATTACCTGTCTTGTCGATGATTGAATCTTTTAGATTTTAGTAGATTTCTTTCTATTGGTTGCTTTGTTATTTAAGAATTGAGTTAGTGTCCCATAATTCGGGTAAAATACAAAATTCCCCTAAATACACTTCTAAATGACATTTTAATCCCCTTTTATTTCCAAATGCACTGTTAGATTTTTGGACTATTCATTACCACTAGTCAACAGTTTTTTACAAATAATAAACGTCATAATTATCCTCAAATAATTAAAATATAAAAAAATACAAAAAATATCACAATCTAATTTAATTAAACAATAATTAAAAAAATAGTTTTTATTTAACATTTATCAACTTAAAAAATGAAATATAGACACACAATGATGAAAAATTAAAAACATATATTTAGAATTATTTTATTATTTACAATTCAAAAAAATCATAATTTTAAAATGAAAAAGATAAAATTTTAAAAAAATTAAATAATAACAAAATTTTTTTATTTTACTCTATTAATAAGGTGATACATTTTGGTGAGCTGACCATGTATACACTTATAATAGATCAAATATAAGCCTAATAATTATTTAAGAAAAAAAAAAACACTCAAAAACTAGGGAGGGTTTTGTTAAAGAATACACAGGGAAACAACATCCCTAGAAAATGCAAGCACAAGAATGAGCTCTTCATTGTACGAATACTTCTCCATTATGGGATCTTTTTCTTCATTTTTGGGTTCGTGCTTGAAATCCATGTATAAAGTTTACAGTCCTGGGGGAACAGTCAAACAAAAATACTTAAAATCTGAAGGGTCTCGTTGCTTAATGTTGGCTATTGAAGTGGAAAAGAGTCAAAACAAAAAGTTGCACCAAATCGTGCTTGGTTTTGCTCCCTTGGTGGGCCGTTAGGACCAAGATGCTTGCTACGTTGACTGCACAAGTGTGAAAGCAAATCTAATTTTCTCTCGTGCTTAAAAAAAGGGTGCAACACTATATTCGAGCGGACTGCATTGTTCCACATGTTAGGCTCCCTTGGTGGACGGTCTGTGTGGTGGAAAATTCATGGCTGAATCGTTACATCATTGCATTAATCTCGTTGAAGCTGTTGGGTCAATATCTATCAAAGCCCATCAACCCCATTCGTATGTCAACATACTGGATGAGAATAGTGGCCATTCATGAATTTCAGAAGGAATTATAAGTTGTTTCTTGACTCAGCGAGGGATTCCGATTCTTAATCTCTGTTTTCGGTTTGGTTTTATGGGAAGCTCCCTTCACAAGATAAAACCTTAATTTTTAAGTCTGTAGTCCAACGTTTTTCCTTAAATCTCATAACCTGTAATTCAAAAAATTTTAAAACCAAGTAGGGAAAGCTGAGAAATCATGTCTAAAAGAGAAGTCAATTTTAATGACAAACAAAATCTGATTGACGGTCAAAAAGATATTGTTCCTTTGGTACGCCATTGAGTAGCAAAACGTTATACATGCTGTGGCACGTAAGCAGTGAGTGACCACTGGCATTAAGAACGACGGGCCTTTTCTATGGTTTGGATTGTAGGCGCTTCCCAGTCACTACTTAATGTTGAATAAGGATGTCGACAGATGGTGACAAACTGACGATACGAAATGACGATGCCATTATTATCACATCTATTTAATTCATTCTTATATTCCATATTTTTATTGCAATATTTTTTTTTTACTTTACTGAAATATCTGCGAATGTACGTCAGCATTTTGATTGATGTAGAATTTCAGATGTATTAAATATTAATCAAAAAAGAAAAAGTAATAAGAAAGTAAATTGTGTTTGCAATTTAGATTAATGGTTTGTTTTCGGTATTTAATTTAAAAAGTTTTTGAATTATTTAAAAAAATTTAAGTAAATTATTATATTTTTATTTTGAATTGAATAAATTTTATTATTAATAATTTATTAAATATTATTAATTAAAATATCACTTATCGTTGAATATCGTGTGATGTTAATATGATATGTTAATATGTAAATATAAAATAACAAGTGACGTTTTGAATAATTAATCAATCAGTTAATTATAAAAATTTATTTAATTTAAAATATAAATAAAATAACTTAATTAAATATCTTTTAAAAAAATAAATATTTATTTAAAATTTTTTAATAATTTAAATATTTTATTAAATATTATACTTAAAAATTAATGTAATAAAAAAATATACGTCGAATGTTCAAATGCATCAATATTTCTTTCAATGAGTTATGTTGGGATGCATCAATATTTCGATGGGTTTTTTGCTGTAATTATTATTATTTCTTTTTTGGACGATTTAGACTTAGATTATCTATTTTTTTTAATTCATACAAAGATTTGAGTCAAGATATTAGGGAGGTTATATACATCCCATTTGCTTAAGTTCAATCTTGTAAAAGTTAATCGATTTATAGGATGACAGAACAGAGACATCGTAAATTGGATATACAAATGCTTCTGGCAAAGTTTTATGCTATCCGGCCATCTGTTTTGACAGGTTCCAAGTAAATTTTGTTTGACATTTACAATTACAAGGACCACTCAGGATGAAACCCGACTAAGTCAAGCAATGATCCGATACGAGGACAGGTGTGTGGATGCAAATCCTGAAAATGAGCAGAAGAGTACTAAACTAAAAGCCAAATCTGCTGCATCAGATTCCCTTGATATAAAGAGCGTACATATTCATTCTCAGGGTCGGCAGGAACGGACAAAACCTTTAAAAGGGGCACAAAGTAGGAGTTTTTAGGGTACAATGGCTTATGTATCCTCCTAGGCAAGCTACCTTGAATGAATGCAGTTTATCAATGCCATTATCCTATTTAGGAGAGTAAATGTTACGGAATAAGATGTTCTTCTTGCTGCTCTACTAAGGAGAAACTTTGGGACTTCCTGAGCCGTGATATTCGTTTTCGATGCCCACGTCCCTGTTTATGTTGTTCCCATTCACGTGCTCCTCTAAGTACCCTATCTCCACAGGCCTGTTAATTTTAAAAATAGTAAGGTCACAAATTTTAAAACCAGAACCTTCATCTAATCAGCCAGCAGATTCTAACACATAACAGTAAATGAAATGTACAAGCGGATTTTGTTTCAGCCATAGCTGACCTTGCATGTGTATTGAGTCCACAAGTCCCTTTGGACTGTACCCATTATAGTTTTACTTTCTCCATCCAAAGTAGAATCTGTCCTATCATCTTCATTGAGGAAAGATCTAATAATTTTCATAGCAGGTCCAACCACTTGCACTGCCCAACACTCGTCCAATTTGCCTGGAATACAGAAACATAAATTATCAGAGCTGTTCATCTGAGCACAAAGAAGATGAGTTTTTCCACAGAAAAGTAAACGTAGGAAATGGAAAGGACTGCCGAGGGATACCTGATATGGACTCTGTTGCGTCAACATAATTTATATTCCATCCAAACAATTTGTGAAGTTGATTGAGCCTCCTTTTCTGCAAAACAACATTGTAGATGTTAACAAG